AGCAGGTTTGGCTGCTAAGCAGGTGCCATCTCCGGTAGCCCCTCAGTCATCCGGGAAGCTGTGTTGAGTGTGGCCTGTGTCAGGTGCAATATCCCAAGCTATTTGTGGGCCGGCTGGAGACAGGTTGTCCAGCAGCACAGAAGGAAAATGTGGTAGTCACCCTTAGCAACGTTGCCCATCTAGGAGCATTGGGGAGCTCTCTGGTGTCAGCTGAGCCCCCAGAGCCAAGAGGATTCTGAGCTGTCGTGGTGGGAATTCCTTGCAGTTCCCTGCTCTGATCAGCAGCACGGGTGGCGCAAGGGAGCTCGCTGGTACCTGATGTGCCGGTTTGAGACCTGTGGTGGCTGCCATCCGCTGGTTGTCAGTCTTTCATTTCTGCATGAAATGGCTCCATCTTGACACCTCCTGGAACACTACTCTTTGACTTAGTCATGCAGCACTTAAGCACTTTCTCTTTCTGTGATATATGGGTTGTGGCAGCAACAGTATTTTGGCACGGCCAGCTTGCCCGGCATAGGCGGGATATAAACCCCATTCCCTGATTCAAATGCTGACCTCTCCTGTCAACCCTTGGCTCTGGGTCGATCGCTGGCAGTACCTATGGCAGTCCACCAATAGATGGCACGGCCGTCTCTTTCTGAACATTGGAAAGACCTCTGAGCCAAGACCACTGGTGGTCTGAGGCTGGGGCTCCGCCCCGTCAGCTCAGGCCAGCGCAAACCAGACACTGGGGATTGGTTTGTTTGCATTTGTGTCCTGCCTTCCTCCCCAGTGGGGCCCCAAGTGGTTTCTGTCGTTCTGCTCTCTGCCATCTTTATCCCTACGACAACCCTGTGAGGTAGGTTCGGCTGAGAAAGAGTGACCAACCCAGATTCGCCCAGCAGAGGGGGGATCTGAACCCAGGTCTCCCAGATCCTAGTTTGACACTAAACACTACCCCACACTGGCTCCCTCGTATCTGAATGCCCATGCCGCCTCTGGATTCAGCCCCTGTTGAGTCCAGCTGAGGTTGCATCTAGATAGAGTCTAGAGCTCAGACTTAACAGTTCTTTGGATTCGGTGGGCCTCCAGCAGCTGCAAGACCGGCCACCGTAGGAGCAAGAGCTACCACCCCAACCCAATTTGGGGGGGGGGGGGCTGCAGTGGCTTCTCATGTGGGTGGGGGTTCAGGAACATCTCCTGTGGACGTGGCTTCCCTGTGCACTGTTTAAAGCAGGGGTGGCCAAACTGTGTCTCGGGAGCCACGTGTGGCTCTTTCACACATATTGTGTGGCTCCCGGCAGGGCAGCTGGGGAAGCGGAGGCATACGTTTTCTCCCTCTCTTCCTTCCTTCCTTTCCCCTCCCTCCCATCTATTTGCTTTCTTTGTTTCTCTCTCTCTCTCTCTTTCCACCTTTCATTCTTTCTTTCCACCTCTCTCTCTCTTAGACAAATAAATATCATTAGCAAAGAAATAAATATAACTGGACAGATAAATAGCATTATTAATATCTGTTTTTACCCCTTTTCTTTTAGGCAGTCTCATTTAATGTTAATAAAAAAGCAAATGTGCATATTTTAAAATAAAAACGTGTAATATCTGTTCATGTCTTCAGCTCTCAAACATCTGGCGTTTATTCTATGTGGCTCTTAAGCTGAGCAGGTTTGGCCACCCCTGGTTTACAGCATACGAGCTGAAGGAATTCGACTGAGCGTAATGGTCCTGTGAAAATCCTAAGTTCTGATGTGGGCGGTCTCTGATCAGGGAAATGTGACTGTTGTTCAGGGAGGGGCCGTGGCTCAGAGGCAGATCATCTGCTTGGCATGCAGAAGGTCCCAGGTTCAATCCCCAGCGTCTCCAGTTAAAAGGATCAGGTCAGAGGTGATGGGAAAGACCTCTGCCTGAGGCCTCGGAGAGCCACTGCCAGTCTGAGTAGACTGACCATGCCAGGGGTCTGATTCAGTATAGGGCAGTTTCACGTGTCTTTCCCCCCCTGACCACGCTCATGAAATTCAGTCGAACTATTGCCCTTAGAAACCAATGCCTGCCTCTTTGTGTTGTGCATAAGTGGCTTTAAAATGATGCTGAATTGCTGTGGAAGAGAAAAGCAGACTGGAGAAGGCTGGCAGCAAACATGGGTGACAGGGAAAAGCCCAGGGCAACATCCGGTGGCACCAACCGGAAGAGGGCCTATCTAAACACCCCTAGGTTGTTATTTCTGGGCCAGATCTGCCTTTCCCCGCTCCCTCGGCTCAGCTAGTAATCCCATTCAAATCAGCAAATCCTACTCCGCAGGTAGGTCGGGTGCTGAGGTGGTAGATTGCCAAGACTGGGCTTGCCCTCCTCTCGGGAGGCCTGCCCTGTTGCCAGACGGAGCGGGAAGCCCTCCAGTCCGTGGGCGGAGGCCGCACCCCGCCAGAGTTTTCTCAGCTCTCTTGGGCCACTCCCCTCCCTCCTGGAGCAGCACCTTGCATGTACCCCTGTGTGTTTTAAGCGCTTCCTCTTGGCGGAACCGGTTGAGAGGCCCTTTCATCCTCCCTCCCCGACCTTTCCCCCATTGCCTGCGGGCCCCGCCTTGTGCAACCGGGCCGGAGCTGGGAAAGGCAGCGTGTAAGCAAGGGCACGGCGGCTTCCCAGCATCCGAGGAGTAGAATGGGATGGGCGAGGTGCGAGAAAGCTTTTAGGCAAGAGTGAAGCCGGGCCCACCCATGGCTGCCACCCCCTGGCCAGCGGGTGGTGGCCGGAGAACAAAGGGAAGGACGCCATCTTCCTTTCCTTTGGATTTCACATGTTGTCAACATCCTCGATTTTGCCCCCTTCAGGTGTTTTGTTTGCTTGCTCGCTTGCTTGTTTGCCCTGACCTGGATCGGCCAAGCTAGCCCAATTTGGTCAGATCTCAGATGTTAAGCAGGGTCGGCCCTGGCCAGTATTTGGATGGGAGAGCGCCAAGGACTACCAGGTCAGGGCATGGAGGCAAGCAATGGCCGACCACCTCTGAATGTCTCTTGCCTTGAAAACCCCACCAGCGGTCCCCATAAGTCTGCTGTGACTTGACGGCTTTTTGCACCCCCGCCATAAGGTTGCCAGGTCCAATCTTCTTCTTGGCAGGGGGATGGGGGGTGCTCCAGGAGGGGGTGTGGCCACCCCCAACGTGATGACATCGCGCAGAGTGACACCATCACGTCCTAGATGCAGCTCGCCCCTGCCCCCGCCTTTCCCCAGCCATTTAAGGGGAACCTTCCCTTTAAATGGTGTGTGTGGGGGGAAGCGAGGGCCAAGCGCGCCTGCAGTGCAAACAGTGAACTTGCGTCTTGCAAGGCAGGAGCAGCGCCCCCTGCTTGAAAAGAGCAGGCGATGGGCGCTCCTGCCCTGCAAGAGGGGAACTCGCCTCTTGCAGGGCAGTAGCTGGCAGGCCCTTCTTGGAAAGAGCGGGTGTCGCACACACCTACCTCGCAAACAGCGAATTTGCTGCTGGCAGGGCAGGCTTTCACAGCACCCACTTTTTTCAAGCAGGGCTTCAGACGACTGTTGTGGGCGGGGCTTCCCCCACCAGCCATCTGGCCGACATCTGGTCTGAGCCCTAAAAAATCGGGGGGGGGAACCCCGCCCGCACCTGGGGACTGGCATCCCTACACTGCCACCACCAGGGTATCTTGCTGTCTTCAGTTTCTTCTTTTATGTTATCTACATGCCTTTTTTGTGCAGTTCATACATAAACAGTGTTCAGAAATGTGTACATTTTAATGGGGGCAGCTCAGAGCGAGGAAACCAAAAATGGATTCGGTTAGATCCAAGTCCTGTAGCACCTTCAAAACCAACGAGACTTTCAGAGTCTAAGTTTTTGGGAGCCAAACCCTCCCTTTGTTAGAACTTCGTCCGTCTGATGTCTGACGAAAGGAGGTTTGACTCTCGAAAGCCAGCCCCCTGAAAGTCTTTTTGGTCCCGAAGGCCCGACCGGACTCGAATCCAGCTCTTCTGCCGCAGACCAACACGGCTAGCCTCTGAAACATAAAACGCCTTCATTTCTCATGAGGGGGAAGTAGAATCAAAACGAAGGTGTTGGGATCCAACAAGCCGGCTTGCAGAATTTCAGTCTTACCTCTGCCCACGACTGGTCCTCGGATATAGATTCAGACTGACATTCCATTCAGCATGAAATCCAAAGCAAATGTCTTACTGTTAATATGATAGTTAACGGTCATGCACCACTTATATGTGGCACAGAGCGCAAAGGGTGCTTCTCGTTCATTATCTTTTTGCACATCCCTGCCACGATTTGCTGACTATCCGACGTTCCTGATTTTGTAACAGTTGATTGAAATCAGTGATTTCCAAGGTGGCTTCCAATCGGAAACAAGTCTGCAGAGCAATACAGGATAAATCAAACATCCCACCGAGGGCACAATAAATACAGCGGCACTGAACGAAGGAACCTGGTCTAACAATAGAATGGGCCGCAGAGTTTGCGTTTTTAAATTACAGCACTAGAACTGGCATTAAAGCTGCAGGAGAGCTCTGAATACAACCCAGAAGGCAACCGTCCAGAAGGAAGGCCAACCCCTCCCCACCCCAAACGATCCCAAGGGAAAGACCGACGTCAAACAGAGCATCTTTCTCTGGTGCTGAAGACTTCATATTTCAGGGCCTATTTCCCCGCCCTCCCCTTGGCCCCCACAAGTACCCCTTTCATCATCTCCCACTTAAATACATTGCTCTGCTTTGCCCTCATTGTCCACATGCACCGTTGCTGGAGGGGGTGAATCTGACGCTTGTGCGCTGCCTCTGTGGAAATGAATGAGCCAGCCTGTGCATGCAAGCACTTCACATGTGCATTAGAGTGCTAGACTGGCCAAACCACTTCAAATGGCACCCCTGATCCCCACAGTCTGAGCCAGCTGCCTGCCAGTCCCGTTCAGAAGTCTGAGCTCCTCTGGTCTTACAGGGAAGGGCGGTTTGACAGATCAAATTTGATAAATAAAAAAGTAATCACACTTGCTTTTGGGGTTTTCCTCCTCCTACAGGTGCTGACCTTTGACGCAGGAGGAGTGAGTGGCCACGCCAACCACAAATCCCTTTACACCACCATCAGGTAGGGTCTTCATCCTTTTCGGCAATCAAATTGATTTCCTGTACACCAGGTGGTCCTGGGGAAGGCGGCCTTGGTGTAAGAGCACCGAGGTGCATTTTAAGCGTTACAGTTCTGTGCCAGGAAAACCTGAATTCTGCGACCGACCAGTTGCTTAATGGTATTCTGGACAGTTGCATAGCATCTACCACGTCGCATAGTTTATCATAAAAAGGTAAAGGTAAAGGTTCCCTTGCTCGAAAGCCAGTCGAATCCGACTCTAGGGTTGCGGTGCTCATCTCCGTTTCAAAGCCAAAGAGCCAGCGCTGTCCAAAGACGTTTCCGTGGTCATGTGGCCGGCATGACTAAACACCAAGGCGCACGGAATGCTGTTTCCTTCCCACCGATGTGGTACCTATTTATCTACTTGCAATTTCTTGCTTTCGAACTGCTAGGTTGGCAGGAGCTAGAACTAGAGACGGGAGCTCACTCCGTCATGCGGCACCTCGGGTCTTGAACTGCTGAACTACCGACCTTCCACAGCCTGCAGTTCAGCGTCTTAACCACTTGAGCCACCGCGGGGTGTTTAAAATAGTTTGCATAATGTATTCTGGGTTTACAGATCATGGGGAGGTGGTCGATCCTCATAGCAAAATCTTATTCAGATTCCAGCCTGAGGCATAAGGACTGGGAGCCTGACAGGATTTTTTAATGAACGCTGGACTTTTCAAGGAGCCGAATTCTGCAACTGAGGATCAATTTGGCGTTGTAGAGCAGGCACGATCCTGAGCATAAGGTGTGGTCTTAGGGGATGCATGTCGTTTAGGGGCACTCAGAAGGTCCCAGGCAATGCTCCCTCTAAGCTGTGGAGTCTTCTGACCAAAAATTCTGCTTGGTGAGCTACCGCCGCATTACGGTTGTGAGTGAGCGATTTGGCTACTGCCTAAATGAGTTTGCTCTGGAGCCCTCCTTCCTGAGCTGAGACAAAAATGCGTGAGCTGGAGGCTAAAAAAACTGTGAACTGGTTCATACTAACACATCTTAGAGGGAACACTGGTCCTAGGTTCAGTCTCCGGCATCTCCAGTTAAAGGGTCTTGTGCAGCTAGGAGAGAGACCTCCAAGGGGAGTCTACATAAAAGCTTGCCTGCCTGTTTTTTGTTTTTTTTAAGTCATGTCTGCAGGATGTGGGGCAGGGCGGAGGGGAGATTATCTTTCGCACTGCCAGGCCCCTGCCAAAGACTTGCATTTTTTAATTCGAAACCGCAATGAGTCTGAGCTTTAAAACAACATGCCCAAAATGGCAACAGGGAGCAAAGCCGCAACCTCTCCCCTCTTTGGAAAGGATCCAGGCAGAGCAGCGCTGCCGTTCACCGACTCCAAGGACAGGGAAGAGCTACAGTGCTCTGTCTCTCTCTCTCTCTCTCTCTCTCTCGCTCTCTCTCTCTCTCTCTCTCTGGCTGTGTCCACCAATAGATCTGAGATTTCCCTCCTGTCTGCAGCCCTCAGGGAAGTCAATGGATGTGCTGGGGGGGGGGTCTTCTCTGCTTCTAAAGAGGGTCCCTCCCAGATTGTGCTCACTTGAGGAAAACGTGCACACCAAGGGGTGCCAACCAGTGCTCCCTCTAAGCTGTGGAGTCTTGTGAGCAAGAATTCTACTTTGTGAGCGACCGGCATTAAAGTTGTGAGCGAGCAATTTGGCTGCTGCATAAATTAGTTTGCTCTGGAGCCACCCATCCTTCCTGAGCTGAGACAGAAATGTGTGAGCCGGAGGCTAAAAAACTGTGAGCCAGCTCACACTAACTCAGCTTAGAGGGAACACTGGTGCCACCTCTGGGTTGGGAAATTCCTGGAGATTTGGGTTTGGAGTAGGGTTGCCAGCCTCCAGGTGGTGGCTGGAGATCTCCCAGGATTACAGCTGATCTCCAGGCGACAGAGATCGGTTCACCTGAGAGCCAGCATGGTGTAGTGGTTAAGAGCAGTGAAGAGCAGCCGGCGCCAGTCTGGAGAGCCAGGTTTGATTCCCCGCTCCTCCACATGCAGCCAGCTGGGTGACCTTGGGCCAGTCACAGCTCTCGCTGAACTCTCTCAGCCCCACCTGCCTCCCAAGGGGCCTGTTGTGGGGAGATGAAGGTGATTGGAAGCCACTTTGAGGCTCCTTAAGGTAGAAGAATATTGTGTAGTGGGTTGACCGCCTGGCTAGGCCCACTCAGCTCCCATAACATGGTGCACGCTTGACTCTTACACAACAAAGACAGACAAACGGCCAGGAGGCCAACTATATACATATCCAGGGGACACCCCTGGATCCCATTGGGAGGTTCGAACTTCCCTCCCCGTTTCTATTGGCTCCCCGTTGGAGAGACCAAGAGACCAGTTCCCATTGTCCACCCAGGGTCAAGCCCTGGGTCGCCGCTGGCCCCTGGTGGCGGCCAGCAGACACAACAAAGAAGAAGAGATTGGATTTATACCCCATGGCCCTTCACTACCCAAAGGAGTCTCAGAGCGGCTTACAAACTCCTTTCCCTTCCCCTCCCCACAACAGACATCCGGAGAGGTAGGTGGGGCTGAGAGAGCTCTGACAGAAACTGCTCTTTTCCAAGAACAGCTCTTATCAGAACTACGGCTTGCCCAAGGTCATCCAGCCAGTTGCAAGTGGAGGAGTGGGGAATCAAACCCGGTTCTCCCAGATTAGAGTCCGCACACTTAACCACTACACCAAACTGGCTCAAAGTCTTCTGTGCCTTCCTCGGCTGTCGTCATTGTTGTGCATTTTTAAATTCCTCCCTGTTTTGCCACCACCGTCCCCAATCTGTCTGTTATCTGGCGTTCATAGGCCCCTGGCACAAAAATAACATTAAAATTTACACACGTGGAATGCCCTCCCCCCCCCCAGGACTTCCTGAAGGGAGCAGACAGAGGCATGGAAATACAGATTTCTGAGTTTGATTTGCACAAGGCAGAGGCAAAAGAGACCCAGGGGACTCTGAGGCACAGTGGCAGGGCAGGGAGACCGCCTTCAGCAGCATCCCTTGTTTCACCCCTCCAGCAAACGGCAAGAGAGCCCTACAGCATATAGAAAGGGCTGCCCAGCTGTTTCTGCCCCCCTGTCCTGATCCCTGAGCTGCCAGCCTGTGTGCTGGAACAGAGCCACACCCGTGTTCTCCCACGTCCTTCGCTCTTGGCCCGGCCTGCCTCTGTCTCCAAACAGGGGTTGCCGGGATTTGGGTATTCATGACCCTCCTTTTCCTCCCTCTGCGTGGTGGCTAATCCTTTTCCTCGGAGCCGACCCAGTAACGGACAGCCTGATCAGAGAGGGCCACGTTCACTTCTCACGTCTGGGGGGGGGCCTTTATCGCGCTCCATCGCACAGCCCGGTCACCACGTCTGTCCCTGTTCGACAGGCCTCTGGGAGGCGATTAGGGGCAGGGGACATGGTGTAATTCTTTAGATTAGCACCAGAATGGGGAGTTTGGGGGCTGATCCTTTCCTCTGCTGGTTTCTTATAGGCAACACATGGGAGAAATTCAGAGTAAGGTTGCAAATCTGCCCCTTTTTCGTTTCTTTTTATTTTCATACGTTTCTGCGCCGAGTCTGGTCATTTTGTCTCTTTTCGTGACTCGGGTTCTCCATTTATTTGTTTTTTTAATGCCATCGTTAATTTTTATGCAACTAACGCAAAAAATAAAGTTTACAATCACGTATATATGATGGGGGGAAATTGGCTTGAAGAAACAGAAAAGGGGGCAAAAAGAAAAATCTCACGGGTTCAGTTCGCAAAGGGGGGAAAAGCAGAAACAAAAGGGCTTTTCAGATCAACACCGTGGAGACAAAATTGAGCCGCACCCCTGTGGGGCGTAAAGAGCAGTTGCGGGTCATGGAATGAAAGAACCAACAGGCCCAGATCACATCACAAAGGCCTGTGGGACTCCAGCTGAGTTCCAAGAGGCTTCCATAGAGGTTCGTAATGGGGGAAACACTTTCCCGAAAGACAGTTTGCTCAGCACCAGAAATCCCCCCCTGCATTCTAGGCTGCTCTTGGCCACGGCCTGGGGAACTGGTCGCCTGCCCCCTGAACCTTCCGCAGCAGAGCAGAGGTTCCTCTTTTGCACAGCTGAAAATGTCTCCCCCAAGCATTATCTGGAGCCAGTTTTTCTGTGTTCATCCAATCACGCTGGCAAACATGATCTGTGTAAATTCCAAAATTCAAGGGGTGTGTTTATTGTGGCGGGAGGGATAAATAGGGATAGAAGTAATGTAGTAGGTCTCAGGGCACATATCAGGAAGAAAGCAGTTTCCAAAATAATGCTCGTCTTATACTGTCAATGGCTACTAGCTGTGGTGACTGAGGGGAGCCTCCAATCTCCGAGTCCCAGAGCCAGGAGGCAACATCAGGGGAAGGCCTCCGCCTCTCTGGCCTGGTGTTTGCCCTCCAGAGGAACTGGTTGGCTATTGTATGAGACAGGAAGCAGGACAAGATGGACCACTGGTCTGATCCAGCAGGGCTCTTCTGGTGTTCTTATGAAGGCCTCAGCCTCTCTTCCCCGCTGTTGGCCATTGAGAACTGGTTGGCCACTGTGTGACACAGGAGGCTGGACTAGATGGACCTTCACTGGTCTGATCCAGCAGGGCTCTTCTGGTGTTCTTATGAAGGCCTCAGCCTCTCTTCCCCGCTGTTGGCCATTGAGAACTGGTTGGCCACTGTGTGACACAGGAGGCTGGACTAGATGGACCTTCACTGGTCTGATCCAGCAGGGCTCTTCTGGTGTTCTTATGAAGGCCTCAGCCTCTCTTCCCCGCTGTTGGCCATTGAGAACTGGTTGGCCACTGTGTGACACAGGAGGCTGGACTAGATGGACCTTCACTGGTCTGATCCAGCAGGGCTCTTCTGGTGTTCTTATGAAGGCCTCAGCCTCTCTTCCCCGCTGTTGGCCATTGAGAACTGGTTGGCCACTGTGTGACACAGGAGGCTGGACTAGATGGACCTTCACTGGTCTGATCCAGCAGGGCTCTTCTGGTGTTCTTATGAAGGCCTCAGCCTCTCTTCCCCGCTGTTGGCCATTGAGAACTGGTTGGCCACTGTGTGACACAGGATGCTGGACTAGATGGACCACTGGTCTGATCCAGCAGGGCTCTTTTTATGTTCTTATGCGACTGTGGATTTTTTTGTATAGTTTTGAAAATCTCAACCGGGGTCGATATTTTGCTGTCTGTGGTGTACAGGAAAGTGTTCCCCAAATGAACCCCTAAAGTGTTAAGAGAGTGTTTTTTGGTGTGCGTTTTTAAATGTAACTAACTTTCTCAGCATCCAGACAGTACCATTTTTGCCTCACCTGTGGGCTCTTTTTGTAGCAGGAACTCCTTTGCATATTAGGCCACACACCCCTAATGTAGCCAATCCTCCAAGAGCTTACAGACCTCTTCTTAGAGGGGCTACTGTAAGCTCTTGGAGGATTGGCTACATTAGGGGTGTGTGGCCTAATATGCAAAGGAGTTCCTGCTACAAAAAGAGCCCACGTCACCCACATGATTAAATTGCCTCCGGGCAGCACCTGTGCACGCTCCTTAGCTTCGCAGTCAGACTGCCAAGCACAAAAAAGGAAGAACGGTCAGTACACGGGGGGGGGGGGCATCATGACTCCATGCATTTAAATCTGTCCCGTGGAAAGCCTGTTACTGGCAAAACGTGATTTAACCAGGGAATGTTGTTTTGTATCTTGTCCTGGACAGGGCGGGGGGGGGGGGAGGGTCCTGGGCAGGCACCGTAAGGTTCCCCTGGAGACAGAAAAGTCAGAAGCCTTTGAGGTAGTCGGACACACAGGGACTCCCATGGGATCGATCGATCCCTTCCGGGCAGCGGGCGGGAAACAGGGATGGTGAGGGAGGGATCGATCCTCCTTGGGAGGAGGGTTGGATGGTGCTTTGGACTGTCAGGGCTTTTGAGCCGATTGATTTTCCTGCCTTGTCATTGATTGATGATTCATTCATTGATGATACTTAAGCTTACAAATGGAGAAGAGAACAGCGCAAGCCACTTTGGGGCTCCACTGGGGAGAAAGGTGGGCTGTAAACTGGGATGCCAGCCTCCGGGTGGGACCTGGAGATCCCCTGGAATTACAGCTCGTCTCCAGACTACAGAGGTCAGTCCCCCTGGAGAAAAGGGATGCTTTGGAGGGTGGACTCTGTGGCACTGTACCCCACTGGGGTCCCTGGCCTCCCCAGGCTCCACCCCCAAATCTCCAGGAATTTCCCAACCTGGATTTGGCAACCATACTCCATCCCCCGCAAATGGCCAGGGGGGATCCAGCAACCCTAGGTGTAAATGGTGGGAATAAATGGCCAAAAGGTCCGCACAGGTGCCCTTCCAATCTCCCAAAGAAATGGCAACGGCTTCTGCTCCTTGTCTGGGGGAAAGTCCGTCTTTCATGGATCCTTCCTCCTTCCCTATTGCAGTAACACACTAGAGCAAAGTTTCAGAGGACAGCTGTATTGTTCTGCAGTGGGACAGTTAGATCGGAGTCCAGCAGCACGTCAGAGTCCAGTAGCAAGAGCTTCAGGGCAGGAGCTTCTGGGGACCAAAGCTTCCTTGGACGCCGATAGCTTTGACTCCCGGAAAGCTTTTATCCTGAAACGCTGGTTGGTCTCCAAGGCACTCCGGGACTCGGAAGCAAACGAGAGAGCAAAGTCCACTGTGAAAGCAAACAAGCGGGTCCTGAGCACTCCTCCGCCTTGATTGCAGTGGAGCTAGAGGTGGAGCAGCAGTACTCTAATAGTGGCGTTCTACTACTCCCTGCTGGTGGCCCTCCCGAGGGCACCTGGGTTTTGGGCACCGTGTGGGACTAGACGGGTCATTGGCCTGGTCCCACGTGGCTTCCCTGATGTCCTGAGGATGAGGACTGGGAGAGCCTTAGTCCTAAAGTGTGATTGGGGACTCCCGACCGTTCACTCCCTCTCAGCCTACTCATAGGGCTGTTGTGAAGATAGAACAGAGAAAGGAAGAGCAACATATGCCACCCGGAGCTCTTGGAGGAGCAGTTGGGTGGGGTAGAGGGTTTCCGACTCACGATCATGGCCCTGTGAATTGGGTACGTGTGTGTGTTCGCGTGTTAAGAGATGTCCAGTCTCTTCCAACCTATAGCAACCGTATTGATTAATGACCTGGGAGACGTCCTACTGTTAACAACTTTGCTGCAGTCTCGCAGACTGGCAGATCAGCCCAAGATTAATCAAGGAAACCTTGAGTTGATCGATCCCCCAGTGAAACTGATGTGAGGCTTGCAGCAGCGGGAAATCTGCTCTTGGGAGGGCACCCCGCACAACTCCTTGGGGGTCAGTTCTTTTAAGAAGAGTTGGACTCGTTCCCTGTGGAGTATTTGCTCACCGTTGTGCTGTTTGGAATTCACAGGTACCTGCACTCGGAGAACAAGCTTCCAGAAGGTACGTCACGTCCCACGACTTTACGTATCGTTTGATTTTAGTCAATTTCGTTCATTTGCATACGGCCTCTCGAGGAAACCAATGAAAAACAAGCCAATCACAATAAATAAAAAGCAAACAGAAGGATCAACAGGCAATTTTTAGAAACCATTTGTGTTGGATGAGCTGAGGAAAAACAAGATATAATTAAGCAAGAAAACAAAACAAAGAAATCTGTCAACTTTTTGTCTCCTGAAATTGGCCCCATCTGGTTTTTCTCTGGAATGATCCAAGCAGGGCATGGGGGGGGGGGGGCACTGTTCCCTCTAAGCTGAGTTCGTGTGAGCTAGCCCACAGTTTTTTAGCCTCCAGCTCACATTTTTGTCTTGACTCAGGAAGGATGGCTACAGAGCAAACTAATTTATGCAGTAGCCAGATAACTCACTCACAACTTTAATGCCAGTGGCTCACAAAGTAGAATTTTTGCTCACAAGACTCCACAGCTTAGAGGGAACATTGCTCCAGAGCAAACTAATTTATGCAGTAGCCAGATAACTCACTCACAACTTTAATGCCAGTGGCTCACAAAGTAGAATTTTTGCTCACAAGACTCCACAGCTTAGAGGGAACATTGCTCCAGAGCAAACTAATTTATGCAGTAGCCAGATAACTCACTCACAACTTTAATGCCAGTGGCTCACAAAGTAGAATTTTTGCTCACAAGACTCCACAGCTTAGAGGGAACATTGCTCCAGAGCAAACTAATTTATGCAGTAGCCAGATAACTCACTCACAACTTTAATGCCAGTGGCTCACAAAGTAGAATTTTTGCTCACAAGACTCCACAGCTTAGAGGGAGCCTTGGCGGGGGCTGGTCGTTCTTTCCCACCGCGAAACAGGGAGGGCCTCTAGCCCAAGGTAGCCTTCTCAATAGGACCGGGCCTTTTATGGAGAATAGGTGTGTCGAAAAGACTATTATAGCAGGACAGCAAAAACCATTCTCCATGAGCAGAAGGAGCTTAGTGTTGCGTTATCAGGGGTTGGAGAACAGCCGGTCAGGGATGGCTGTTCCACCCGTGCCCTGTTTGTGGGTGCCCAGCCTCATCCGTCAAGCCCCTCTTGGGAACGAAGCGCCGGACTAGGAGGAGTTGGGTCCAACCGAAGATTGCAATTGTTGTTTTCTATCAACACAACGAGCAGGAGAAGCTTCTCGGCACGGCCAAGCACCACAAGGGAAGTGTTGGCTGTTGTGACAGCAAAGCAGGAACTAGGAACAGGGGGCCCTTTCCCCAAAAGATCTAGCAGCCATTTTCCCTTCCAGAAGGGCCGCCCTCGTCAAGCGGCCAGGCTCAGGTGGCTGCGTGCAGACGGGCCCTGCACCCCAGGGGCCCCTCCATCCGGCTGCAGATCCCGGCGGCTGCTCCAATTGCGTCACCCTTTCCCTGACCCACAATCGCCCAGGGCCCAGGGAGCTCCCGTTTTGCTGCTTACGCTAAGCTGTTCCAAATATAGCTGCAATTCCCGGTATGTCTTAATTTGATCTGGCAGGCATCAGGGGCTGTACATTAGAAGGGCTTAAGCGGGGCGGGGGAGGACGGCGGTGACGTCAGGGCCTGCCCTGGCTGGCTTCAGGGCAGCCGGGAAAGCACGTCTGTCCACAGAAGCCACCAGCTCGCCTGTCTCTTAAGCAGGAACCGGAGCCCGCAGAAGCGGCAGATTTGACGGGACGCCACCGTTCCGCAAATGCCAAAGTTTCCCGGCCTCTTCGGCAAGGCTGTCGCAAAGATTAGCCTTCAGTTTTCATAACGCTTCTTGCTCTTTATTCCCGAGACTCCCTTCTTCATCGCCTCCCCCCCCCCCCCCCCCCCCTCGCCGAGAGGGAGAAGGCAGGTGGGCTACAGAACTGGGGGCCCAGGGAGCTGGACAAACGGCCACTGGGGGATAGTAGCAGCATTCGCAGACCTGTGCAGATCAAGAGAGCCAGTTTGGTGTAGTGGTTAAGTGTGCGGACTCTAATCTGGGAGAACCGGGTTTGATTCCCCACTCCTCCACGTGCAGCTGTTGAATGTTCTTGGGCAAGCCCTAGTTCTGACAAGAGCTGTCGTTGAAAGGGCAGTTTCTGTCAGAGCTCTCTCAGCCCCACCTGCCTCACAGGGTGTCTGTTGTGGGGAGGGGAAGGGGAAGGAGATTGTAAGGCGCTCTGAGACTCCAAGTGAAAGGCGGGCTATAAATCCAATCTTTTCTTGTGTCTGACAAGGCCCCCTGGGGGGCGACGGTGGCTCTCAGCAGCCCTCCTTGACTGGCTCTAGTCCTGCCCACGCACTCCACAACCCCAGCTAGGAGAGGGGAGAGAGGGGGGGGGAGAGACTTTGATGCCCCGTGGTCTGAAATTTCAGGGCTGCCTCTACAAGCCTCTTCTGACCACTGCCTTGTCCTTTGAGAACCACCCGGCGCCTCCTGTTCTGTGCCCGGCCCTAAAGGGAAGGGAGAGGCAGTGGAGGTGGTGGCGCGCCTAGGGGAGGACATAGGCTTGGTGTGTGTGTGGGGGGGGTGTCGGATGCTTGAACAGCCGTCAGAGCTGACCTGACATCAACGTCCTTGCAAAGAATTCCCCGTAGTTGCAAATCCCAGTCTGCAGACCAGAGAAAGATTTATAAATGCAGAGCAGACGAGGGCCTTTCTCTGAGCTTGTCTCTAAGAACGTCTTCCTCTTCTAAGCGCCTATCTTATCTCTGAGGCTAGGCTCAGAACAGACACCACTTGGCACATTACATTCTTACAACGCTATAGCAGCATCTATGACGTTAGTAGAATTCAGGCAGAGTTCTGGAGTTTAGCACATATAAAGATCTTAAGGCACACAAAATGGGAGTTGGGTAAAAAGGTAAAGTTTTCCCTTGCTCGAAGGCCAGTCGAATCCGACTCTAGGGTTGCGGTGCTCATCTTCGTTTCCAAGCCGAAGAGCCAGCGCTGTCCGAAGAAGTTTCCGTGGTCATGTGGCCGGCATGACTAGATGCCAAGGTGCACGGAACACTGTTACTTTCCCACCAAAGCGGTACCTGTTTATCTACTTGCAATTTTTTGCTTTGGAACTGCTAGGTTGGCAGGAGCTGGGGCCAGAGACGGGAGCTCACTCCATCACGCGGCACTCGGGTCTCGAATTGCCGACCTTCTGGTCTGCAGTTCAGCGTCTTAACCCCTTGAACCATCGCAGCCCCTAAAATGGGAGTAGCTTTTGGGTAATTCCTCTGTCGGTGTCTGTCTGGACAAAAGCTGTTCCCTGTTCCACTGAAGGTGTGACCCAAGGCCGGCATGGGGGCGGGGCCCTGCAGAGAGGAGCAGGCCCGCTTCTCAGTGGCCGGGGTCTTCAGAGACAGGGCAAGCCTATCCCCCAGCCAGTAACACCCCCCCCAGCACACCGCCATGGGTTACCTTTTCCCTATAAGTTCTCTGGGAGTGGCAAAAAGAAGTCAAAGGTTACCGCGAGGGGTGTTGCAGTGGGGGTGGAACACGGGCACCACCCCAATGTCGGAAAGCTCAGCAACCTCTGGCTGGCGTATGGGGGGGCTGCACTGTCCCTCCTCCCCGTTCTGAAGGCCGTTCCAGGACTGTGCTGTAGAAGGCGGTCCTCCATCAGTGGACGGGCTGTGAGCTGGCACTCAATATGAAGGTCGGGTTCCGCAGTGCCATTTTGGCATCAGACAGCGCCCTCTGCTGGAATTGTTCATTTATGACACAACGTGCCTGCCCCACCCCCCAAAAAATGTGAGATCAAGGCAATAATAATTATTTTTTCGGCCAGAACATCTCCCAGCAGTTCCGCTGCACCTTTGCCTCCATCTGGCAGGTTAGGCCTGTGGGGTTTTGTCTCCCCCCCCCCATCTCAGTCAGCCTGCCCTTTTGCGTCCTGTCCCTCTGCCCAGGCTGTCGGGTCCTCACCCTGGAGACGGTCAGCCTCTTCCGGAAGTATCTCTCCATCCTCGACATCCCCATCAGCTGCCTCCACAGCCGGGATGTTCTCTTTGTGCTGACGAAAGAGGAGGCGGAAACGGCCAAGGTGAGAGCGGCATGTTATGGGGGGGGGGGCTCCTCTGGCATGGCCCGCCGGGGTCCGGAAGAGCTGTTGCCGGGGTCTCGGGAAGTGTCACGTCCAGGGTGGCTTCGAATGAACTAACTTGGCCAGTCGCCCTCCGAGGCTCTCCTGGGACTGGCTTGTCTGCAGTGTCCAGAGGGGGAACTCGGAAGGGAAGCAGCACAGGCGGCATCCTGGGCCGCCTCAGTGGAGCAGCGCCCCACCTCTGCTCTCGGGTGTGATGCTCCACGGGGTTGCATCCGGTGTTCCCTCTAAGCTGAGTTAGTGTGAGCCAGCTCACATTTTTTTAGCCTCCGGCTCACAAACTTTTGTCTTCGCTCAGGAAGGATGGCTCCAGCGCAGACTAATGTATGTAGTAGCCAAATCGCTCGCTCACAACTTCAACGCCAGCCGCTCACAAAGCAGAATTTTTGCTCACAGGACTCCACAGTTTAGAGGGAATATTGGTTGCATCCAGTCAGCTTTCCTGGCCAGTCAGCTTTCCAGAGCCAGTTTGGTGTGGTGGTTAACAAGGTTCCCTCTAAGCTGCGGAGTCCTGTGAGCAAAAATTCTACTTGGTGAGCTCCTGGCATTAAACTTGTGAGCGAGCGATTTGGCTGCTGCATGAATTAGTTTGCTCTGGGGCCATCCTCCCTGAGCTAAGACAAAAATCTGTGAGCCGGAGGCTAAAAAACTGTGAGCTAGCTCACAGTAACTCAGCTTAGAGGGAACACTGGTGGTTAAGTGTGCGGCCTCTAATCTGGGAGAACCGGGTTTGATTCCCCACTCCTCCACTTGCCCCTGCTGATGTGACCTTGGGCAAGCCATAACTCTGGCACAGCTGTTCTTGAAAAGGAGCAGTTTCTGTCAAGAGTTCTCTCAGCCCCGCCTACCTCACAGGGTGTCTGTTGTGGGGAGGGGAAGGGGAAGGAGTTTGTAAGCCGCTCTGAGACACCTTTGGGTAGTGAAGGGCGGGGGCATAAATCCAATCTCTCCTCTCTCTCTCTCCTATGCCCAGTGAAAGGCGCATTGCTTGTGCTCGCATATCAGACCACGGAACGAGATCCCTTCCCATCAATAGCGTCCGCAGAGATGCTGCTCAGTTTACCTTCTCCCCAGTAGTGCAGTGGGAGGCATCATGGCTCAGTGATGGAATCTATGCTTGGTGTGCAGAAGGTCCCAGGTTCGATCCCTGGCATCTCCAGTTGAAAAGATCTGGCAGTAGGGGATGGGAAAGACCCTCCGCCTGAGACCCCGCAGAGCCGCTGCCGGTCAGAGACAAGACTGACTCTGATGGGCCAAAGGTCTGATGCAATATAAGGCAGCTTCGTATGTTCGGGCCGGGGGGATCCTGAAGCAGAATTTGGGGGCCAGAGGAGTCGCTTGTGCCTTGGCTCACTTACTAGAGCTTCCTGGCCCCATTTTTTCCGCAGGCCCCTTTTGTGGAATGTGTCCGCCCCCTGCTTTCTGTGTGGCACACTGCAGTACGGCTCACATAAGCTCATCGGCATGGGCCTCACGGTGGGCTGTTTTTCCTATAAGGAATACGAGATGCTGGGTGGGGTGGGAGGTGCGAATTCAGTCCGTGTGCTGCCACTCAAAGGAGGAAACCATGGCAATCAGCGAGAAAGCCGCCTGGCCAGAATAGAGGGGGGCAGGTCCGGAGATGCACTCTGAGCCCAATCAGAACTTGCAAAGAGGACACACACACACCCCGCTGTGTTCCGTTCAGTGGCTCACCAGCCCCGGATCTCCACCTTGACATTCCATTTCAGTCCCTCCCCACTCGAACGATTCTTAGTCTTCGCTGATGCCTTAATTCAAGAGAACCAAAGAGCAAGGGCCCAGCGGCAGCACCTTGAAGAAGAGGAGGAGGAGGAGGAGGAGATTGGATTTATACCCCGCCCTTCACTACCCAAAGGTGTCTCGGAGCGGCTTACAAACTCCTCTCCCTCCCCCTCCCCACAACAAACACCCTGTGGGGTGGTTGGGGCTGAGAGAGCTCTGATGGAAACTGCTCTTTTTCAAGACGTAACAAAATTTGCAGCAGGATATGAGCTTTTGTGAGTCACTGCTCAACATCTGAAGAAGCGAGCCGTGACTCACAAAAGCTCCTCCCCGTCCACAAACGTTGTTAGTCTTTAAGGTGCTGCCGGACTCTCGCTCTTTCCTACTGCTACACAGACAGGCTAACAGGGCTGCTCATCTTGATCTATCAAGACAACGAAGTTTGAGTCCTGGGTCACCTTTGAGACCAGCGAAGTTTTAATTCTAGGTATCAGCTTTTGTGTGCGAGCACACTCTCAAGCAGACTTCGCTCTCTGCTTCAGACCAAGGCGGCCACCCCCTTGAAACTGCCCAATTCCAGGCCACCCCCTTTGTGCCCTCCGTGGGTTTACCACACCAGGCTGCCTTGTGCCCCGTCAGACCCCCTCATCCATCTAGCCCCAGGAGCATCTGCCTTGACTGGCAGTGGCTCTCCAGAGTCTTGGACAGAGGGAGGTTTTGCCTCACCTGTTAGCAGGGATCCTTTTTCTGGAGACGCCGGGGATTGAACCTGCGATCAAGCAGGGGCTTCACCAAGGAGCCAGGTCTCCACACAAACCAACCTGGCCTACGTCTGACAGCAAAGGAATCTGGTGTTCTTCACCTCAGTTTGGTGTAGTGGTTAAGTGTGTGGACTCTAATCTGGGAGAACCGGGTTTGATTCCCCACCCCTCCACTTGCAGCTGCTGGATGACCTTGGGCAAGCCATAGTTCTGGCACAATGTATCAAAAACTAGACAAGCTTTGGTGTAATTACAATAGGAAAAATAGGGCACACCAAAGAAAATTATATCTTCTATATCTAACAGCTCCATCAGGACATCTCAAAGAGTAAACATTCCAGGAGCTCAGCCAAAACAACGTCAAGAATAACTACATCAAGATTTTGTATTGTTTTGTATTATACTCATATTATCATTTACTGGCTTTGCTTATGTTCATGAAACGTACTTCATATATAATGAATGAATGCTAGTTAATACAGGAAATTTGTTATAATAATACAACTAAGTGTGTTAAAGATATAGAAGAGTCATTTTCTTTGGTGTGCCCTATTTTTCCTATAGTTCTGGCACGGCTGTTCTTGAAAAAGAGCTGTTTCTGTCAGAGCTCTCTCAGCCCCACCTGACTCACAGGGTGTCTGTTGTGGGGAGGGGAAGGGAAAAGGGGTTTGCAAGCCGCTCTGAGACTCCCTTGGGTAGTGAAGGGCCATGGGGTATAAATCCAATCTCTTCTTCTCTCTCAGCCCCACCTCCCTCACAGGGTGTCTGTTGTGGGGAGGGGGAGGGAAAGGAGTTTACGAGCCGCTCTGAGACTCCCTTGGGTAGTGAAGGGTGGGGTATAACTCCAATCTCTTCTTCTTCTTCTTGTTCCTAGAGAGCCATGTGGTGCCACCGCAGTCAGCTGCTCTGGTTCCGCCGCCTGTATGTGTGCTTCTCACGCTACATGGTGGTCAACTCGCTTCGCTTCCTCTAATGGGAAAAGGACTCCGTCAAAAACCTCCCGGGCTTCAAGCAACTTCAGAAGCCCAGAACTCCGTCGAGCTCCTGCTGAGCCCAGAAGAGGGAGTGGATCCACTCCAGCAAGACCCAGCCACAGCATGGCAAGGCCCATCTGCTGCAAGAGATCTTAACTCTGGCCGGTAATCTGGATTTATCCAGTTACGTGGTTGGGGTGGCGGCGCAGCAAAGCCAGAAGCAGGCCAAGCACGGAACGGACCAGCCAATTCTATGGAATCTGGCTAAAAGGGACTTTTGTGGCATGTCAGATGCTGTTCCAGGGGGAGCGTCCCTAAATGATGGCAGCAGGACATTTCGCGCGTGGGGGAGGGGGGGGGGGATAAAAATTATCTTTTTAATAAGAACACATGGTAGCTCGAAATAAACAAGACTGCCAGGACATAACAATATTGCTGTCTGTGGGGGTGTACTAAAGGTGGGGGCTGTACGATCGCTCCCCAATCAAAACCATGAGGCGGGTCTCGGGATGAAGAGAGAAATAAGGGAGGCAACTAAAGAGGGAGATATCGATAGCCGGAGGCTCCAACTACGGGCACACTGACTGGGCAAATGTGTGTTCCAGTCAAGCTGTAGAAGTGAAGTTTCTGGAGAGGGCTGTAGCTAGTGGTGGGGCTTTAGGGGCAGGGCTACAGTAAGTGGTGGCGGCTACAAGAGGGAACTGGATAAACATATGGGGCAGAGGTCCATCAGTGGCTATTAGCCACAAGGTATAGAGAGGAACTCTCAGTCTGGGGCAAGGGATGCCCTTTATTCTTGGTGCTTGGGGGGGCAACAGTGGGAGGGCTTCTGGTGGACCTCCTGATGGTACCTGGTATTTCTGGCCATTGTGTGACCGAGTGTTGGCCTGGATGGGCCATTGGCCTGATCCAACATTGGCTTCTCTTATGTTCTTATGTTAATTAACGCAGAGCCCCACCACGGCTCAAGCGCTCCATCCCCTCCCCTGCTGGGGTGGAGGGGCGACAGCACTCGGACCGGACCGACAGCTGTTGCTGCGCCAGTTTCCCAGCACACTAGCACCGGCTGCACAAAGTGCATGGTGGGGCTGCGGCTCTGAGCCTGGGTCCCTGGCTGACGAGCCGGCAGTGGGGTGGGGAGAGGAGGCGCAGTACCCATGTGCATGCAGAGCCGGGCTTCCGAGTGCTGTGAGACGGGCTGCTCAGTCGAGTGGAGAAACCGGAGCCAGGAAGACCTTGCCCGAGGGAAGGCTTGATTCCCCTCTCCCACTTGCTCCTTGGGACGGACACCCACAGGCCTGTCAACCAAATGCTGCCGTGGGAGCCAGGACAGCCAAGGCGCCATACTGGGCCTGCACTGCTTTGCGCTCCGGAGCGGCCAAGAAGCTGGGGCCTGGCCTTTGTCCCCAACCAGCACAGACGTGCACTGCTTGCTTGGCTCTGTCCTCCAGCATGCATCAGGTTCAGCCTCCGCCCCCCACCCGGGCAGGGAGAGGGGTCAGACAGACCCTGCAGGAGGTGGCAAAGCAACGTGGCTTTCTGGTAGCCAATGGCTCCAGCGGCACCTTTTGCAACAATGCAAGCCCACTCTGTCAAGGGCGCACTGCAGGGGCTCGAGGGAGCCCAATTCTGGCCTCTGCTGCCGGGGGGGGGGATGACCCAAAGGGTAGTACCCAGTGTTCCCTCTAAGCTGAGTTAGTGTGAGCTAGCTCACAGTTTTCTAAGCCTCCGGCTCACACATTTTTGTCTTTACTCAGGAAGGAGGGCTCCAGGACAAACTAATTTATGCAGCAGCCAAATCGCTGGCTCACAACTTTAATGCCGGTAGCTCACAAAGTAGGATTTTTGCTCACAAGACTCCATGGCTTAGAGGGAGTATTGGTAGTACCTGTTCCTAGATCAGGGTCATTGTGAGTTAAAATAGGTTGCTTAATTAGCGCTGCCCCAGTGGGGCCCCCCCCAAAAAAAAATCCTGGCTGCGGGCCTGTTTCTAGACATGATAAAGGACAGTGCGTTGTAGCAGTCCAGCATGGAGCTGATTAGAGGTGTATTCTGGACTCCGTTCTGAGCGGGGTTCGAGACCTGGTGCAAGACACAGATGTCGGACTGACGGGCACAGGGAGCAGCACAGTGGCCATTAAGCACAGCCTTCATGCCTGCGGAAAGTTGCTCCCAACGCTTGACACAATCACATTTGAGTTCAAAGAAGGGAATCTTGCAAATATGAGGGGACTCGCCAGAAAGACGTTTAAAGGCAGAATGGAGGGAGTAATCCCCCTCCTCTTTAAAGAGGTCCAGACAGAGTGCATGCTTCAGATCAGGAATGGTAACAATGACTCCAGTCAAGGAAGCCATAAAAGGCAAAAAAAAAAGCTTTTCTTTTTTTTTGATGGAAGCTTTCCCCAGCCAAGGTGAACAGAAATAAGCACAGTTTCTGGCAAAACAAATGCAAGTTGGCAGTAAGGGAAGCAAAAGGGGAATTTGAGGAGCAGATGACTAAAAATGTTAAGGCAAACAATAAAGGTTACTTCAACTATATCAGGAGTAGAAAACTGGCTAGGGAGGTGGCTGAGTCTTTGGATGGCAAGAAAAGGAAGCTACTTAAGGAAGTTAAACTGGTTTTTTTTAATCTGCTTCCACTGTGGGAAATTGTGAGGTACATCCCTGTGCCAAAGCCACTGTTTTGGGGAATATGCTGGACTAGGATGGTTGGTCTGATCCAGAAGGGCTCTTTTTATGTTCTTATGGGGGGGTTTCCCCCCCTCTTGGTGAAAAGATTTAATCCTGGCCAAAGTCTGCAGAAGGAACTAAAAAAAAATATTGCATTTTAAGTGATAAGGAGCTAAGACATGTTTCTGTGCTATGATGCCAAATGCTTTCAGTGGGGCCATATTTGGTCTTCTTCACCGGCTGAAGAGGACTGGACCCCTGAACAGCCGCATTCATTCTTTCCAGATCAGCTCTTTCCCCTCGGTTTGTGCCATCCCCCTCAGGCCTTGCTACGGGGTCCCTTGGGCCAGGCATTGTGTTTCTGGCAAAGCCCGCCTCCCCTCCAGTCTGGCTTTGGTACCACTGTTGCCCCATCAAGGCACGCATTTGGAGAGGCCAAGGGGACACTTTGTGACGAGGGTGAGATGGTCCCCTGAAGAACAGACACAAGGTTGATGCTCCCCCAGACAGCAAAGTTCTTGGTTAATATTTTGCCAGGATCAGTCCTAACAGGGGTGGTATATCTTGGCACCGGTCATTGAACAAAGGAGAGACACTGGGTTGGGTCCCATCTAAATGTTCCACCAGTGAAATGGAATGCCTTTGCCTCCCCCTCCCACGGCCGCCCCCTGATCTTCCCCAGGACGGGGCCTGCAGCAGAAAGGCGGGATCGGTGCAGAGGGCCGGCTTGGTCTGGATCCCACCCCTTCTCCTTCAGCTAATCCAGACTGAGACCCAGGAATCCCTCCTCTGGCTCCCGAGCTCTCGGCATGCAACGCTTGCTAGTTTTCAATCACAACCATGAGGCCTCCTGACTTCTTTTTCACAGGGACTCATTAGAAACAGAAAACCTTTATTCGGCATAACATAGATAAAGGAACTCATTAGCATAATAGGCCATACCCAACAGCAGAAACTCGTTAGCATAATAGGCCACACCCTTGATATGACAGTTCATTAGCATATTAGGCCACACCCCATGTTACCAGAAGTGTGGTCATCCAGCCACACCCACCTTTTGCTTCTTATTCTGTTTACCTGGTTTGTGGTCAAAACCCAAGGCTTTTTTTGTAGCAGGAACTCCTTTGCATGTTAGGCCACACACCCCTAATGTAGCCAATCCTAATGCGTTCCTGCTGTTGGGTGTGGCCTGTTATGCTAATGAGCTCCTGCTGGGTGTGGCCAACTCGGGAGCCGGCTGGAACTCCATTCCTATGCGTTCCTACCCAAAAATAGCCCTGCTTTTTCGTATATGGAAGTTGAGATTCCTGAGGGTTTTCTCATGACAGCCAGTTTGGTGTAGTGCAGGGGTGGCCAAACTGCAGCTCGGGAGCCACATGCGGCTCTTTCACACATATTGTGCAGCTCCCGGCAGGGCAGCTGGGGAAGCGAAGGGGAGGCATCCTTTTCCTCCCTCCCGTCTATTTGCTTTCTTTGTTTCTCTCTCTCTTTCCACCTCTTTCATTCTTTCTTTCCACCTCTCTCTTTCTCCCTCTCTTGGACAAATAAATATCATTGGACAAATAAATATGATTGTCAATATCTGTTTTTACCCCTTTTGTTTTTCTTTTTGGCTGTCTCATTTAATGTTAATAAAAAAGCAGATTTGCATATTTTTAAATAAAACAGTGCACATCTTATTTGTTCATGTCTTGCGGCTCTCAAATATCTGACGTTTATTCGGTGTGGCTCTTACGCTGAGCAGGTTTGGCCACCCCTGGTGGTTTGGAGCGCGGATTCTAATCTGGGAGAACCAAGTTTGATTCCCTCCTACTCCACATGCAGCTGCTGGTGTGACCCTGGGTCAGTGACAAGTTCTTTCAGAGCTGTTCTCTCAGGAGCAGTTCTGGAGCGCACTCTCTCAGCCCCACCTACCTCACAGGGTGTCTGTTATGGGGAGGGAAAGGGGATTGTATGCGAGACTCCTTCCAGTACTGAAGGGTGGAGTATAAATCCAGTCTCCTCTTCCTTCTGTTTCTATTAGCCCTGACTGAGGTGACTCAAGCTAGCCTGATCTTGTCAGATCTCAGAAGATAAGCAGGGTCGGTCCTGGTTAGTATTTGCATGGGAGACCACTGAGGAATTACCGGATCGCTACGCAGGGGAAGGCAACAGCAAACGGGTCCCCATTAGGTCGACTGCAACTTGAAGGCACTTTACACCCATACACACAGGCAGCAGAAGTAATATTATTTAGCAAAAATACAACCTTTATTTTCTAAACGGTGGGAACAGGGATTTCTTACTGAGCAGTTCTGGGCATCTATGTTTCTGGGATCGGCACAGTTACGGTTTTGACAGGCTCTTGATTGTAGGATGCGCCTTGATGGCTTTCTCCCACTCCTTGCCGTTGATCGCCTCCATGGTGACGCTGCGCACCGTGCCTTCGTCCAAGCAGTGCGGCGCTATTCCTAAAAAAGAAAAGAAGCCGTTCGTGATGGAGAAATTCTGGGTACGGCCGTTGCTCTTCCTGACAAAAACTGGGGTCTCTGCCCCGAGGAGCTTGCCATCTGACCCGGACGGAAGGGAAAGGAGGAAGGTGAATGTCAGGATGGTGGGGAGAGTCTATGTGAATGCAGTTGCATGTTGTTCAGTTTCGTTTTCATGCCAGATGAGGACTAAAGTGTTGTGCCAAAGATTTCGTGACAAATGAGGTGGGGGAGAGTTCGAGAACTGGTGGACACTCCATGAAATTGCTGAGCAGTTAGGTTAGAACAGGTTAGAACAGATAAAAGGAAGTCCTTCTTCACCCAAAGAGTGACTAACACATGGAATTCACTGCCACAGGAGGTGGTGGCGGCTACAAGCATGGACGGCTTCAAGAGGAAATTGGATAAACATATGGAGCAGAGGTCCATGAGTGGCTATTAGCCACAAGGTATAGATAGGGACTCTCAGGCTGGGGGAAGGGATGCACTGTATTCTTGGTGCTTGGGGGGGAGGCAATAATGGGAGGGCTTCTAGTGTCCTGGCCCCACTGCTGGACTTCCTAATGGCACCTGGTATTTTTGTCCACTGTGTGATACAGAGTGTTGGACTAGATGGGCCATTGGCCTGATCCAACATTGGCTTCTCTCATATTCTTATGAGGGAAAAGGGACAGCAAGGGAGAAAAGTGTTTAAACTTAGGCCATTCTGCTCAGGAGTTCCCAGCCAAGAGCACAGGGAGTGCCCTATTGAAAGAGAGGTCCCTTCTTTCACAGTCTTTGGGCTACATTTGCAACGGTCCCTTGGATTGTTCTGTGTCACCCAAGTGGACGGGAACATTTCTGGCTGTGGGGACTGCAGGGTTGCCACTAAAATTTTATTTTTCATTTCCTTGACCAACATTTGTCAATTTCCCTGACCACCATTCAAATATAACCACAAGTTAAAAAAATGAATATTGCATTAATGCAAGGTAAGGCTCCACTCTACAGCTACACTCAGGAAGTGGTGGGTGCTACAAGCATGGGCGGCTTCAAAAGGGAATTAGATAAGCATATGGAGCAGAGGTCCATCAGTGGCTATTAGACACAAGATATAGCTAGGGGCTCTGGGGCAAGTGATGCTCTGTCTTCTTGGTGCTTGGGGGGGGGTCAACAGTGGGAGGGCTTCTAGTGTCCTGGCCCCACTGCTGGACCTCCTGATGGCACCTGGTATTTCTGGCCACTGTGTGACACAGAGTGTTGGACTGGACGGGCCTTTGGCCTGATCCAACATTGGCATCTCTTATGTTCTCTTATGTTCTTATGTACACAAGTCTCAACTGCAAAAATATTTGTCAAAGAGATTTAATATCAGCGTCTTTCGACATTAACTGCAGCAACATCTGTTTTGCAATTGCATCAAAAATTACACCAAGATACAAATTTCAATTCAAGGAAACACTGAATGCTAACAAATGACGTAACATTCTTGTTACTGTTTTAAAGGGACACTAAAAGTTATATCAACGTCCTATCTAAAAGGGTTGGGAAAGGGCATCCTTGAATTCTACTTGTGTTCTGCTCCTTCTCTATTCCAGTTGCCACAAGAACAGATCAGGCTCTCGCAGCAGCAGGTCAGAAATCCACGGCTTGAATATATTTTAATCACAATTTCCCTGACTTTCCCTGGCTTCAGACCAATTTCCCCGGCTTTCCCTGACCAATTTCCATTTCCCTGACTTTCCCGAAAGTGGCAACCCTGGACTGAGAGCAGCGAAACAGAGCTCTCACCGCCAGGGCTGCACCCACATGTGACGATTCTGTCTCCCTGTCATCACCACCGGAAATGCAAAGGCACTCGTACTGTCAACAGGGCAACCACACAGATTTCTGTGCACTTTGCTTTTTTTTCTTGTAATCCACAGTTAGTATTATGCTATAGCACTAGAAGAATCTTTTGTCATGATCTACTAGAATACTTAAAGGAGCTGCGGTGGCTCAAGTGGTTAAGACGCTGAACTGCAGGGTGTGGAAGGTCGGTAGTTCAGCAGTTTGAGACCTGGGTGCCGCATGATGGAGTGAGCTCCCGTCTCTAGTTCCAGCTCCTGCCAACCTAGCAGTTCGAAAGCGAGAAATTGCAAGTAGATAAATAGGTACCACTTCGGTGGGAAGGGAACAGCATTCCGTGCGCCTTGGTGTTTAGTCATGCCGGCCACATGACCACGGAAACATCTTCGGACAGCGCTGGCTCTTTGGCTTTGAAACGGAGATGAGCATCGCAACCCTAGAGTCAGATTCAACTGGCTTTCGAGCAAGGGAACCTTTACCTTTACTAGAATACTAGTCCCTCTGAATTCCCAAGTTTCATTTTTTAAAGTGCAACTGAAGCCCTTTTTGTCATGGGGGTATAATAGGAAAGGTGCTAGAGGCCTACTTTTTAAAAGAAAAGACTAAAGCCTTCCTTTTAAAAAGAGTTATAGCTGGGGATTCAAAGGAACTAGTGTGGCGATACAATATAGCGACACTGTAACAATCTAGCAGTTCATGGCATGGGGGGGGAGCGTGGTGGCTGTAGGCAGGGCTGAGGCAAGGGAAATGGTGCCAGCATGAGTGGGACCTTCAAAAATGTGCACTTTCCAATCCACATGGCATGCAAGTTGTTGGGTGTTACAAGTTAAAATTACACTCAGTATTTCTGGGGTTAAATGTTTGTTTGTGTTGTCACAGGAAATCACATGTTTTATGTAGCCAATGTTAGTTTAGAACTACAAGCCTGGGAAAACCATCCCTGATCTAGGACTTTCATTGGAAGCAAAGTGTCAAAGTGTCTTAGCATTTTATGGCTCCCCGTCTTTATTTGGAGTTCTGAAGCAGAAGGAAAGAGAAGCCATTATTGCTCTCTTCTAGTCTTGGCTTTGTAGTGTAAGGATGTAGCTATTTAGCTCTGTTGTTATTTTCATTCCCGTTACCCTTCCCCATGCTAGAATGTAGTAAAAACTTTCTATTTTAAACATACATGGACTCAGGGTCTGAATTATTTTACTCTGGCATTGCTGAGTTATTTTATCTCTGCTGAAAACCAAGTTTTATTTTTCAAAACCCCAACACAAGTGCACTCTGACTGTGACCTTTCCAAAAAGATTGTATCATATTGAGTTGAATGGGGGTGGGCGTTTGAGGGGGGGAGAATCAGGGCAGGCAAAACCAGAAATGTGGATGATTTGGAGGCTGAAGAGAAAGAAAACCAACAGCAAACTCACTGCAGTCTGGATGCCAAACCAGAGCATGACCTCCATGTGGAAGCAGCCCCAAATAAGGGCCGGCTAGACACGGAGCCCCTGGCAACCCCCTTAGGCCTGGGACAGCTCGGATAAACGAGACGAGCAGCTACAAGCGATTCCTACCGTAGCCATCGGGATTGGAGCGGGGCGTGTAGAAGCTCTGGATGCCGCAGGTCTTGCAGAAGGTGTGTTTGGCACAGTGGGTGTTGAAGCTGTAGGTAGCCAGGTTGTCAGCACCCTTAGGAGAGAGCAGGGAGAGCGGCCTCTTGATTTATTCGCACATGGAATATCCCGCTCTCCCCCCCCCCCTGCATTCCCCCTGCCAAGCCCTTCTCTGTGGCCGACAGCTGCAGAGACCCCTCCAAGAGGGCAACATTTCTCATCCCGCTCTTGACAGCGGCGGCCCAGAGTTCACGGCTGAGGCAAGGTCTCCCTTTCCGGACCTCCTTGGAGACTCGTGACCCCTTACAGCAGGCCAGCTTGTTCCAGGCCAGCTTGTTCCAGCACAGCCAGGCACATGAGGGGAACCAGGCAGAGCCGGAGTGGGCAGGGACTGGCTGATGTGCCACGGAGGACAGGGGGAGTGGGAGCCTCAGCCCAGCTCTGGGTTCCTGCTCATTCGGCGTGGGCCAAAGCCACGGCTGAGGATGCAACCACAAGTCCCATCCTGGACCGGGGAAGACACCAGCAAGGAGGGATTTCAGACACGGAGAATGATGAAGGAGAGGAGAGGGAAGCGGCGCAGGAAGAGAACTCGGGCAGGGCGCGGGGGGCAGCCAAGCAGAGGGCCCGGCAGGGGCTGTAACCGGGGCCAGATCACGTCCACCAGAGAGCAGCAAATCCCCCCGGGGTCGTTCAGGCTGGGAGCTGAGGCCGCAGAGCCCAGGGGCACCAGGACGGGCTCATCCACGGAGAACTGCAGCTTGGCACGTTCCTCGGCCTACAAACCCCCTTCCCACAGAAAACCAGCTCGGCAGGGAGAGGGGTTCTCCGTGCTGGTTCTCTGCTTGCGGGGAGCTGCTAAAGTCAAGCGGTGTTCCAAGATGTGAACCTTGAGAGCCAGACCTGAGTCCGAGGAACCAGTGCTACGTGAGACACAGCGCTTGTGTAGCAAGAGAGAGAAGTGCAGCCCCCACCAAGAAAGAAGAAGAAGGAGAAGAGACTGGATTTATACCCCCGCCCTTCACTACCCAAGGAAATCTCAGAGCGGCTTACAAACTCCTTTCCCTTCCCCTCCCCACAACAGACACCCTGTGAGGTAGGTGGGGGCTGAGAGAGCTCTGACAGAAGCTGCTCTTTTTTCAAGAACAGCTCTTATCAGAACTATGGCTTGCCCAAGGTCATCCAGCAGCTGCAAGTGGAGGAGTGAGGAATCAAACCCGGTTCTCCCAGATTAGAGTCCGTGCACTTAACCACGACACCAAACTAGACAAGGAACTAGTGTGGCAGTACAGCATAACAACACTGTAACAATTGAGCAGCTCACGGCATGGGGGGGAGCCCCCATCCGTGAACATTTTGGAGGACAAGGGTCCTGTTTGTGAGGCCCCGTTCCCTTGAGGCCCTGACATGGACAGCCCGGGCTAGCCCGATCTTGTCGGGTCTCAGAAGCTGAGCAGGGCCGGCCCTGGTTAGTACTTGGATGGGAGACCACCAAAGTCCAGGGATGCGAAGCGGAGACGGGCCATGGCAAACCACCTCTGTTCATCTGGCGCCTGGGAAACCCTACGGGGGTCACCATACGGCTGCCAGCCTCCAAGTGGTAGAAGCCAAAAATGAGAGATCACGGGACGAAGTGGAATTCCAAAAACAACATCTGTGACAAAAATAACAAAGGCCCCGGTTACACGGCAAAGTTGCCGCGGGAGAGTCACGGATGGTGGGCGGATTATCCGGGCGTGATCACACCCAAACATCTGGGAAGTGGAGCGCACCGGTGGCTTACCGCCGACAATGCGCCTTAAAAAACTATTACCTCCAAGGTACTAGTAAGCGTTTGCCACGGGCTGCCTCCAGACACCCGTGGTGTGATCGCGCCAGCGCACAGCATTCCCCTCCGGTCCCTCGTTTACCCACCGGCGCTGAGGGAAGGACCCGTAGTGTGCCGCCAGCGCATCTGATCACGTAATCGCGCATCAAACTGCGCCAGGGCAATTAGCCACGCCTCCCCCCCCTTGCGATATCCGGCCTGTGTGACCATGGCCAAAGAGTCAATAAAGATAAGTTGCAAACGTTTCCTGTTTCCTTCAAGAGTTGATAAGTAGTAATTGATAAGAATTAGGATCGCCACATGCTCAGATAAAGCAAATATCGCGAAACGAACTGTTTTCATTGCACAGTATTCGTTAGCGTGTGAGCGATAATAGAAGAAAATTTTCTACAGGATTACTACAGTAAACGTTTTTACAACTTATCTTTATTGACCCTTCGTTATTTTTGTCACGGATGTTGTTTTTGGAATTCCAAACTCCAAATGGTGGCAGCAGAGATCAGTTCCCCTGGAGAAAAGCCCCGCCCAGCCTGTGATCCTGGACGCTTTCAAAACAACGAGTTGAATTCAACACATCAACCCCCACCGTGCAATTAACTTGCACACTGAACACCGATTTCCCGCAGACGTGACACCTACTCCACCACCCAAAAATCTTCCCAGAGGGGCTCTCCAAGCGCACTCAGAGATGCAACCTCCCCCCCACACACGGACACCTCCTCAACCCACCTTCAGGAGCTTGAAACGTGAGGCGGGGACAATGAAATGCCGGTTTTGCTTCTTAATGCAGATGCTGCAACTGCAGAGAGAGGAAAACATGCTTGGAGAGGGGGGGGAACACCACTTCTGGGAAGTCTGTTCACACAAACACACCCACACCAGCGCCTCTCCCACCCTCCACGCACTCATGCTCCAAACCCTTGGAAAGGAGGAGCGCAACTCCAGGCTGAGATTCGGCTTGTGCCGGGCTCCATTCTGGGTACAAAGCAGTTGGTACGGGGGGAGGGGGGCTCTTGTGGCAAAAGTCCCCCCAAAAGGGCCGAAGAAGAGGGAAACCGCCGTCACTTACTTGCAGTCGAAGACGTGCAGGTCGGCCGAGGCCCAGACCTCGAAGCGGACACTTCCACAGTGACAGCCCCCGGTGTGCTTCACCAGCCCCTGGTACTCGCTGGGGAGGGAAAGTGGGAGAACAGAGACCGGTCAGGACCAGTGTTCCCTCTAAGCTGAGTTAGTGCGAGGTAGCTTACAGTTTTTTAGCCTCCAGCTCACACATTTTGGTCTTCGCTCCGGAAGGAGGGCTCCAGAGCAAACTGATATACCAGTGGTGGTGAACCTATGGCACGGGTGCCAGAGGTGGCACTCAGAGCCCTCTCTGTGGGCACGCGTGCCATCGCCCCAGCCAGGCCCAGACCATCATTAAAATGTCAAATTCTCTGCCAAATAATTTTAAGTAAATGAAAGCATTTGGGATTGCTTTCCTTACTTTGTTTGGGTCTTCTTATGTTAATGTATGAGTGTTTTTTTCTGAAGTAAAACCTCAGTATTCAGGTTAAATGGCCGTGTTGGCACTTTGGGTCGCAGTTTGGGCACTCAGTCTCTAAAAGGTTCGCCATCACTGTGATATACACAGCAGCCAAATGGCTGGCTCACGACTTTAATGCCAGTAGCTCACAAAAGTAGGAGTTTTGCTCACAAGACTCCACAGCTTAGAGGTAGCATCGGTCAGGACCTGTCCAGAGCTGCAGGAAGGTGCTGGGAAGAGCCACTGCGGCCTAGCAGTTACAGTGCCGGACTTGGATCTGGAGGACTCCAGGTTCGAATCCTCACTCATGCCATTGGAAGCTCGGTGGGCAACCTTGGCCTAGTCACACTCTCAGCCCTAACCTACCTCACAGGGTTGTTGTGAGAATCAAATGGAGGAGAGGAGAGGAGAATGACGTCAGGCACTTTGGGGTACAAACGAAGTAAATAAACAAATGTCCATGACATTTATTTCAAAACAGGGAGAGGGTGCTTTATGGTTCTCCGGGAGAGAACGCGACAGGACCCAAATGAAAGCGAGTGTCTCTTCTGAGCAGGGATTCAAGTGCAACTCTTCCATGGCTGGTCTCTATCTGCTGCCTCTCCGGCCCTGGAGGATCAGACCAGCCGGGTCCACCTAGCCCAGCATCCTGTTCCACAAGGCTAACCAACTGCCCTGGAGGACCAAACAAACAGGGCACAGAGGCCAAGGTCCTTCCCCGGATGCCAGCTCCTGGCACTGATCTTCAGAGGTTTACTACCTCTGAATATGGAGGTTTCTTTCAGGCACCAAACCTGGTAGCCACAGAGGGACCCCCTCCCCCATGTTTCTCCCTAGCCTAGGGCTGCCAGCGGTGGGTGGGGAAATACCTGGAGAGGCCCTTCCAGTCCAGCACTCGGTGTGGCCAAAACCCAGCAACCATCAGGAGGGCCACCAGTAGGGAGTAGTAGAATACTAGTAGTAGGATACTACTAGTAGGATACAACTAGTAGGATACTACTACTCCACCCCTAGTTCCATTTAAATCAAGGCTTGATTCAAGTCCAGGAGATTTGGGGGTGGGGTTTGGGGAGGGGCTTCAGTGGGGTGTAAAGCCACAGAGTCCACCTTCCAAAGCAGCTATTTCCTCCAGATGGACTGATCTCTGTCGGCTGGAGATCAGCTGTAACACCAGGAGATCTCTAGCCAACACCTGGAGGTTGGCAACCCTAGTCTAGCCCCCCCTTTAAGCCATAAGTAAATGCTCATAACCCCGATTTAATTACTCCTTGAGTAAAGAAATCCTTCCTTTGCTCCCTCCTCAATCTAGTGCCTGTCCAGTTCATTAGGAAAAGGTTTTTCCCTTGCTGGAAAGCCAGTCGAATCCGACTGTAGGGTTGCGGTGCTCATCTCCGTTTCCAAGCCGAAGAGCCAGCGCTGTCCGAAGACGTTTCCGTGGCCATGTGGCCGGCATGACTAAACGCCGAGGCGCACGGAACGCTGTTCCCTTCCCACCGAAGTGGCACCTCTTTATCTACTTGCAATGTCCTGCTTTCCAACTGCTAGGTTCATTGGGCGCCCCCAAATTCTAGCCCTTGGGGAGAAGGCGCCTACCCTCCGGCCCCACAGCCGGTTCTCCACCCTCCAGCAGAAAAAGGGACCGAAATAAAATAACACCTCCGGGACTGGAGTGGGAGAGTCGAGAGCAAGACCGGGGGCTCAGGCGCGCCGCTGCAGACGCCCGCGCCACGTTCCTGGGGCCGTCCAGGCCAAAGGGCGAGAGGCGGAGGCGGCAGAAGGGGGACAAAAGGAGCGACGGGAGGGGAGCGCCGCACGGAGCCGGCCTCAGCAAACGCCCTCCGCCCGGCACGGCCGCCACGCGAGTCTCCGGATCCCGCCCCAGGCTGCAGAAAGACTCGGACTCTGGAGTCTGGACCTCGATCCCGCGGCCTCCGCCTCCCTGGAAGGCGCCCTGGGCGCAAAGCCGCGCCTTCCTCCGGCCCCTGCCCCGCGCAGGCTACCCACCCACCCCCCGGCTTGAGCCCGTGCGGAGCCATCCGAGGGGAGCCCCTCTGCGCAGCCTTGCGCCTCCGGCGGGATCGGGCGCACGGCCGGCAGCAGGTGCATCTCCTCGCCGGGAGGCTCCTGCGCGCAACAAGTCGCGGGCTTCCCCGGCTGGAACGACCGCGTCCCCTTACTCACAAGGTGTCCAGCAAGAGCTTGGCCGCCTCCTCGCCGCTCAGCCGCTGGCGCTTCAAGAACTGGAGCCAGCGCTCCTGCTGCGCGCCCAGGGCCAGGGCGCCCGCCTGCGGCTGCGGCTGCCGCGCCTCCTCCTCCTCCTCCTCCGGCCCTGGCGACTCGGCGCCGCGGGCTCTCTGGCGCGGCGAGCCCCTGCCCTTGGGGGGCCGATCCGCCGGCTGCTTCTTCCCCCCGGACTGGGGGCCTTTCCGCGTCGCCGCGGCGGCGGCGGCGGGGGACCTCCTCGCCTTCCCCATGCTGGCCACGCCGCTGTCCTGCGCGCTCTCCCGCCGACGCTGGAGGGCGCCCCCGAGCCGCGCAGCTGCTCCGATGGGCGGCGGCCACGTGGCGAGGAAAGGGGAGGGTCGGGGACAAGGGGAGAAGGGGCGGCGCTCCCGGGGGCGTTCGGCAGGTTGGCCCGCCGCAGCAGCAGCAGCAGCCCGGGAAGACGCCCGAGACCGCCAGCAGCACGTTGATAGTGCCTGAGAGCACGTGCGGTGCGGAGAGCGCCGCCCGCCTCGCCCACTTCCCTGTGCAAAATGTTACCTGGGGGGGAGGGAAGGACCACTTGGGATGGGCGGCGCTGCTGTGGGGAATTCGTCGTGGGGGGGTGGGGGTGGAGCCTGGGTAAGGCAGGGTTTGGGGAGGGAGCTAGGAGGGGTACGAGGCCACAGAGAGTCCACATGGGTTGCCAGCCCCCAGGTGGGGCCTGGGGATCTCCCGCTTTTACAGCTGACCTCCAGCTGACAAGAGATCCGCTCCCCTGGGGAAAATGGCTGCTGTGGCATCATACCCTGCTGAGGCCCCTCCACCCCTCAAACCCCGCCCTCTCCTGGATCCACCCCCCAAAGTCTCCAGATATTTTCCAACCCAGACCTGGCAACTCTGAAGCCCACCCCCCAAAGCAGCCATTTCCTCCAGGGGAACCGATCTCTGGAGATCAGTTGTAGTTCTGGGAGGTCTCCAGCCCCCACCTGGAGGTTGGCCATCGGAGGGACTTTTTCTCTTTCCCGAATCCTGCCGCCTCCTCATTCACGATGCCACCTGAGTGTCTGTGAATATTCTTGCCTCGGCTGCTCTGTGCCCTCTAAAACTCTGGAGCCAACAGTCTGTTCTCTCTCTCACACACACACTCTCTCTCCATGCCCCAAATCAAGGCTCCTGGTACTTGGCCTTGTAGAGAAGGCAAATCAGGCCCAAGTCCATCGTGGTTTCCCACAGAGCCCTCCAGGAAGTCCATAAGCAGGACAAGAAAGGGAACTCTTCCTAAAACCAGGGGTCATTTCGTAGAAAAAGAGGTGCAGGTGCTTATTAGCATAACTCATTAGCATAACTTATTTGCATATGCCACACCCCCTGACATCACCGGAAGTGTGTCAGAAGGCAACACCCACTGCTCAGGCTCCACTGGACTGTTTTGGATTGCTAGCTATTGGGGGGGGGGGGAACGTGCAGATCTGTCCCTCACAGAGGAGGGACAGCTTGTACTTGAAGGCGGGTTTGGGGGCGGGACTCTGCAACTTACCTGGCTACTTCTTGCTCCTCATGGCCTGACTGAGGGCTGCTGGGAGCAGGGGGCGGGGCTTGTTGCATGTGCACTGAAGGCTGCTGGGAGCAGGGGGTGGGGCTTGTTACATGTGCCCGCCCCCTGGGCTCCTTACTGCCAGAGCTCCGTTCCCGTGCACTCCTGCATGAAATGACCCCTGCCTAAAACACTGGAGTCAGTGTTCCCTCTAAGCTGAGTTTGTGTGAGCTAGCTCACAGTTTTTTATCGTCCGGCTCACACATTTTTGTCTCAGCTCGGGAAGGATGGCTCTGGAGCAAACAAATTTATGCAGTAGCCGAATGGCTTGCTCACAAAGTAGAATTTTTGGTCACAGGACTCCACAGCTTAGAGGGAGCATTGCTTGGAGGGTCCCAGAAAGGGTGTCACTGGGCCCCAGGGCACCCATGGGCCTCATGCGGGGGACCCCTTTGCTGCAGGGACCCTCCAGAATATTGGTGCCCCAAGTGTTGGCTTGTGAGCTCAGGCGGGGCCCAGGTCTTATTTCAAACCAGGCTTCATTAGACCCCCCCTTTTGCCACAAGGGAGACCCAGAGCAACTCGCAACCTTCTCTTCCCCTCCATTGTGTCCCTCACAACAACCTTGTGAGGGAGGTTAGGCGGAGAGTGTGTGACTGGCCCAAGGTCACCCAACAAGCTTCCATAGCAGAGTGGGGATTCGAACCTGGGTCTCCCAGATCCTAGTCCGACATGCTACCCACTACGCCATGTGGGCACACCTGACATGATATGGATGGCACAATGACAGAGAAGAGAGCATGTGCAAAGTGCCTTTCCCGTAACACTCCGCCACAGCCAGCCACGACCCTGGGAGGAAGTATCTGCTCTCTGTTTGTGGTGGCTCTCACACTGGCTCTAGCCCAGGGACTCTGACATGGGGGCACCCAAGCACTCCACTGCCGAGGCGAAGCCCCTGGACACCTGAAGCTGCCTGATCCTGAATTAGACCCTCAGTCCATCAAGGTCAGAATCGTCTTCTCAGAGTGACAGCAGCGCTCCAGGGTTTCAGACAGCATGCTTTCACACTGAAGACTCTCCTTTCAACAGGAGATGACAAGGATTGAACCTGGGACCTTCTGCTTGCCAGGCAGACGTGCTACCCCTGAGCCACAGCCCCCTCCCTTAAACTTGGCCAGAGAACTAATGCACCTGCAGAAGAGATTGACGGAGGGGGACAGTGACGGCTGGCTGGCTCGCCTTTGCTTTGCAGCCGTCCCCACCGGCAGCTGAAATTGGCCAGCGGTCCCACCCCCCTGGTTTCTCCTGTCATATCCTAAAAAGGGGATCCATTGGATATTCTCCTCCGAACAGCTCTCTGGTGCCTCCTGCCAAAGCATCCTATAAACAGCCAGGGTGACTCAGCTGCAAACGTGGGCGCTGCGTGCCAGCACCTTTTAAATAGGTGCTCAGCCACCCATGTGCTCGTGATACGGTCTGAAGTGACTGGGTGCACTTCCTGTGGCCTTACCTGATGGGGTGAAGTCACTCCTAATCAGGGGAAGCGAAGGCCATGAAGCCCCAAACGCCAGAGAGAAAATCTCTCCCATTCTACTGCAGTGCTTCAGGCACTGTCTCTCGTTTGCATCCAGAAGCAGGCCTCGGGTAGGGGACACTCAGCCCCAGAACCTATTTTTAAAAGTCAGGGTTTAGGCAGGATAAAGGCAAGAGTTCTCCTGAGCCCAGCTGTCTCCTAAACATGGACTTCTCAAGCCTCAGGGCTGGAGGAACATAAGAACATGAGAGAAGCCAATGTTGGATCAGGCCAAAGGCCCATCCAGCCCAACACTCTGTATCACACAGTGGCCAGAAATACTAGGGGCCATCAGGAGGTCCACCAGTGGGGCCAGGACATTAGAAGCCCTCCCACTGTTGCCCCCCCCCAAGCACCAAGAATACAGTGCATCACTTGCCCCAGAGCCCCTAGCTATACCTTGTGGCTAATAGCCACTGATGGACCTCTGCTCCGTATGCTTATCTAATTCCCTTTTGAAGCCGTCCATGCTTGTAGCCGCCACCACCTGACTTTAGAGTCGGCCCAGGGTGAAGCAGGGCACCACCTGACTTTAGATTTCAAAAATGTTGTTTCCCGGGGGGTGGGGGAGAGGGGATATTGTTTTCCCGGTCAGGCCAGGGTGGAACTTGGTGTGCTGGTCAGAGTTTGGCAGAATCCCCTGTTTGCTAGACCCCAGTCCTCACTGAGCGTTGCTTTACTGTTCAGGCCAGGAAAATGTTGTTTGGCTGGCTGGCACCTCTGGCCTGGAGTCACCAGGAAGGATTAGGAAGGGTTCGCCGCCACTTGCAGGAGGCAGGGAAAGGGAAAGGGATCCTCCCGCTGCCCACGTGACCCTTGTGGAGGCTGGCGGGCAGCGACACAGCTTGGAGCTCAGCGGGGTGGCAGGACTGTAAGTCCCAGAACAGGCAACGCCATACCCACGGGCCATTTCACAATGGCATTTTGCTTTCCGCACCTCTCTAATTCAAATATCATACTTGCACCTTCCAGGTAAAACCGTCTCTCTGTCTCCATTCTCTGTTCCACTTCAGTGGCATTCCAGCATGCGGACATAGGACACTCAGGCCCGATTCACACGTGAGAGGGCAGAGCCCTGAGGAGGCAGAATGGAGGGCAATGTTCCCTCTAAGCTGAGTTAGTGTGAGCTAGCTCACGGTTTTTGAGCCTCTGGCTCACACATTTTTGTCTCAGCTCAGGAAGGAGGGCTCCAGAGCAAACCAATTTATGCAGTAGCCAAATCACCTGCTCACAACTTTAATGCCAGTGGCTCACAAAGTAGAATTTTTGCTCACAAGACTCCATGGCTTAGAGGGAATATTGATGGAGGGTACCTCTCCAGGGGACTCCAGCCTTGAATGTTCCTTTGCCTACAAGCTCCCTGTAAACAGAAGGCTGGCCTAGCAGGAAGAAATTTCTCTCTCCCTCCCCCCCATCATTTTTGTACACTGTGCTGGATTTCTCTTTGCAGAGAGTTTTTAACAGAGAGGGGAAGAAGAAGAAGAGGAGGAGGAGATTGGATTTATACCCCGCCCTCACTACCCGCAGGCGTCTCAGAGCGGCTTACAAACGCCTTTCCCTTCCCCTCCCCACAACAGACATCCTGTGAGGTAGGTGGGGCTGAGAGAGTTCTGACGGAAACTGCTCTTTTTCAAGAACAGCTCTTGACAGGACTATGTCTTGCCCAAGGTCATCCAGCAGGTGCAAGTGAAGGAGTGGGAAATCAAACCCGGTTCTCCCAGATTAGAGTCTGCGCTCCTAACCACTACACCAGAAGTGATCCAACGTGATCTCCCCCCTGCAGACTGAAGCGATGCCATCTGATCTGCCCCCTGAGGGTTTTGCTACCCCATTCACCTGCCTACGTGAGCCAGAGAGGGCCAAAGGCAATTTAGTAGAGAACATGTACAGTTGTCTGGGAGTCCCTTTTAGGAAACCGAACCGAACCGTCCAGTTTAAAGAACCAAAATCCAAATTCTACTGACCTTCCAAAATCCCATGGGTCCCACTAACGCCACCAGTAACTGGACCTTTGCGGGGGGGGGGGGGTTTAGCTTTAAAAATTGTAAATACAGAATGAGGTTTTAAAAAGCACACGCATCTAGAGAGCACCTCTTACATTTTCCCAGCATCTAAAAGAGGAAATGGAAATGGCCACTTCCTGTTATTCTAATTTCAAAGGCATCCCAATTGTTAATGCGAAAGTGAGTCACGGTGAAACTTCTGCGTGTTGGCCAAGCCTGCTCTGCAGAAACAAAATGCCCCAGGTTGTCCCAGCTGGTCGTACCAGCTTGTGCTTCGTTTGAATTAGATATTAGAAAGCAGACTCACAGTAGGCGTTGGGTTCGCAACTACTTCTTCTGTTGTCGTGTGCCCCCACCCCCCAGTTCCTCTTTCCATATTTTTAATGTTTTTATTCCTCCTTCATCTCCAAGCAACAAGAAATTCCAGGGGCT